TGTCCCAATCCAGAGAACACCTTATGTTAGTAAAAAAATATAAGCATCTAAGAATAAATTTGATCTAAGTCATGCATGTTCATTCCTAGAAGATAAATGGTGTCAATTTTCAAGTTGTCAAGTTTCAATTTTTGGTAAAAAAAAATTCAATCCACTTTGCTTTAAAATTCGAAGGTGCTAGAGTCCAAATTGAGAAAAATGCTATTTCACGAATGTTGTTGATCTCGATGTGCTAAATATTTCTCCGTGACAAGAAAAATCTCAATGCTGCCTCTATAATATGTTTTTAGATATTTCTCTAAAATTGCCCAGAATTTCATAAAAACTATCCAAAACTGTCAATTTGATTTAGTTTTTTTTACTGTTTTTGGACCTTTTAGAGGGCGAACCTCATATTCCGTAAAACACGAAACTTTTAGATCGTGACAAGACGAAGAAACTTCGTAAAGTCCAAATTTTGAGAATCCAACTCTAAGGTGTAGGTAATTATAGATTAAGAAAAAAGAGATAAGTTAATCTGTAATATTAAAAACGATTTTGATTTCTAGCGAAGAATGTTTTCTGAAATGTTTGAATCCGAGTTTTACAGGAATTGAAAATTTAAGACATAATTTAAAAAACGAGGCCAAATAGGAAATTTTAAAAGATTTACAAACTTATGGTTATTTTCTAAAAAAAATCACTAAGTGCCTCCCGACACTAATTTTTAGTAACCGACAATATGATTAGCGGTAAAATGCGATTTATTAACGATTTTCAAAATAGGATCGGATTGAGAATTTCTATAAAAATAGTAGATACGGGCCCAACACCCATACTAGGCCCACAACTTTTTGAGCCTAAGTCCGACACTCTAGTGTAAAGGAACATTGTAGACATGTTGTAAGCTAATGGGCCTTGATACAATTTTAGGCTCAAACTAACAAATAATATGAGTTGGTAACTTAGACACAGGCCATGAATAGATAACTAATTAAAAGACTAAGTTATCAATCTAGGACCGAATAAACAAAGGCAATTAAGAAAAATTAAATGACAAGGATTTATTTAAAATAATCCTTGTAATATGTAAGAAGTCAAATGTTCTTTTTAAAAAGAAAATATTTCCTAAGTATAGGAATAAATTTCTAAATAGACTAAGCTAACTAGACTAGCTTATATTAAGTTAATCTCACACTATCAATGGGTTTTCTTTATAGAACACAGCAGTAGAGGTTAACCTCGACGAGTAATATAGTCCCGACCTTAGGTCATAGCAGGTAAGTAGGAATCTCACCTACAGTATGAATAAGTTTAAAATCAGAATGTTATACATGTTTTATGTACATGTTTATGCTTAAAGTTATAGTATACTATGTCATGACATATCACATGTTCACTAATAAGATCAATATGACTAATGAGAACATATAAGACTGTCATACCAACCACTCGACCTACAGGGTGGATTTAAGGCCAGAGGAGACAATCATTCAGTACCTGAGGAGGTAAATTTTTCAATTAGGATCACGATGTAGTTAGGGACCTTGCAAAACTTTTCTACTCGCTGATCGTGTGCACACTTTTCAGTATGAACACTCAGACCCAAAAGATTAATAAAATAAGTTCATAAAAGAGCATAATTAGTGCATGCATTACTGATATACTTTAAGTACTTTGTTTTAATTAGCGAGACTTAGTTCCTAGTTACTAAGTATAAACTCACCCCTATGATGTATTTATACTGTAGGAAAACAACCAATGAAAGGTGAATGATGGGTTGTGCGCAACGGCAGGCTAGCAGTGTGGAGAATGAGAAATTGATACCACTCGCATTTTAATTCCACAATATGTTTTCTTATGATAATAATTTTTAATTATATGTATGCAGTATGGTTTTAAGAAGATTGAGACTTCTTATACAATTTAAAAACTAATATTTGTTAATTAATATTAAAGTTAAGTTTATGTTCCTTTGTCATATATGATATTAAAAAAAAAAATCTGCAAATTCAGTTTAATTATTTCAAGTATTTTAAGCGATTACATGTTTAGTGAGTTTAAGTGAGGGCTACTTAGCTAAGGTCGTTACCCATATGGACGAAGATCTCCAAAAGACACCTCTACTATGGAGGGAGTCTCAATTAAGCATGTAGGGCACCAATGGAGGAAGTCTTGGACATACATCTGACAAAGAATAAGCTTTCGTTAGGCGTATCTGGTACTAATTAAGCCTCCAGTAGAGTAAACACGATGAGTTTCAAACCTTCGCCGGTGAAAAACGTTCTAGAACATAGATTTTGGTATTTTGGGCTTTCAAGAAGTTGGGAGGAAGTCTTTTTAGGAATCCTCCGTCACCCATTTATTCTTAACCCACTTAATTTGAAAAACCCACCCAAGTGGGATTTAAATAAATACCATATTAGAAGATAAAACTGGCATATTCGATTACTCACGCCAACACAAATTTTCCGAGTGCGACTTAGGTTCACGAAATGTACCTAATTATGTCACAGGACACGATTCCTGGGTCTGGACCCTTATATAAGCTAAGTACAAAATCGACTATTAACACACATATAGGAATCAAGGACAAATTAGGGATAATAATATCACAAGTGCCATCCCAAAATTGCTCTATATGTATTTTTATTGTTTTTAAATATATTATATATACAAATATATTAATACATAAATATTAAAAAAAATAAATACATACAGCCTAGCGGAAAACCCATTATCGAAGTTAAAACAAGAAGAAACATAACTACACACACATATATAAAAGCCCTGATAATTGTGGTTAGAAACATAACTACACACACATATATGTAAAAGCCCTGATAATTGTGGTTGGATATAGATTTAATGGAGTGTGCAGACAAAATTACCCCTATTATTTATAAATTTACAAAATTGCCCCTGATGCGGTTGTCGAACTTTTAGAGATTATGGTGGGTTACCTAAGTGTCACGCTAGGAGAAAGGTGGTCTTCGTCCGGGGAGTGTGAAGTATCACAACAGTGTACCACCGTCATCTGACGACTATCGCATATAATCGAATTGTTAGTATCATGGTAGGATACTGACAGTAACCAGTGGCTATTACAGGTATCTTATATTACTAATGATATAATGTTTTCTTTTATACAATAACATTTTCTATTGCAAAAATCAATCCAAACCTGGCTTTGTACATTGGAAAGTCTAGAAGATCACACTTCTGGTGAAGGATTATAAAGATTTATACATTTTTTCTTTTACCTTTAATCTATTATCTATTACTATTGTATAAAGAACAGTCTCTCTCCTTTTACTATTTAAAAACTTGGTCAAGTTATTTTATCTTGTCGTGTCTTAACTTTTTTTATTTTCTGTTTTTTCTTATCTTCTTCTTTGCCTTTTCCCCCTTGAAAACGTTATACTTTAAACTACAATATATCAAAATACTTTTTTTTATTTATATTTATTTGTAATAATTCTGAACACTTAAATGTTTTTGTAATCTTCTTAAATATTATTTTGTTAAATATAGTCTTTGTAACTATTTTTCTTTTATTTGTTTCTATTATAATAATTTTTCATAAATATGTCTATACTTGAATTTTTTTTTTTTTTATAATCACGTAAAATATTCTTGTTAGATATTGTCTTTGTAAATTCATTGTTTTCTTAATTGCTCCACTATTTTTTGTACAAATATGTTCCTATTTAAACATCTATTTCTTGTCCATATATTTCCCAAATTAGATTTGTATTTGATTTGTTCTCATTAAATCATTTTTTCATGCAATGCACTTTACTTTAAATCTTATAATATCTAATATCCTATGTTATTTCTCCACCATTTCGTCCGTTACTTTTGTTTTTTTCTCCTTCATTGTTTTTGTCGTTTGGTGTTTCTTTTTTTCTTTCTTTTTTTATTTTTTTTACCTTTTCAATTTTTTTTCTTTTCTATCCTTTTTTCCTTATTTTTTATTTTCTTTTCTAAAATGTCTACTTTCCTTTTGGTTTTTCCTCCTTTTTTTTTCTCTTTTTACTAAATACTTGTCCACACCTTAATTCTTTTACTGTGTAATTCTTTATAATACTTTTTTTTCATGCTTCGCTCCTATTTCTAAATAATTTTGTTCTCTCTTACTCGAATTAAAATATGTTTTTTTTTTAGATGCGTACCTGCTAATTTTTTTTTTTTCATAAAGTCCTTACTATATTAAAAGTAATTTTTTATAATATTTTTCTAACCGGCCAAATCAATATCTTTCTTTTCCTCAAATACATCTTATTTAAAAAGGCTTTTTTCATGCCGTTCTTTTAGCTTCACTAATTTGTTCCTATTGAAGTAATTATGAATAGACCAGCATGTTTATTGATTAAGTTTTATAAAAATTATAGGAAAGAATATAATTTTTGGAAAACTATGTGATGATTAAATTTGAACAAAAACAACTAACAAAATTTCATTCTTTCTTTTTGTAGTTTTATTTATTATTAATTAGTTGCATTGCTCTACCAGCCTCTTAAGATGAATAAATTGAAAAAGGAAATTAAAGTCTTTAAAATTCAATAAATTTATAAATACACAGGCACGTGTCTATAATTAGTATTAATTCAAAAGGGAGTTGTATTATAAAAAGAGAAAATGAGACAAATACCTTTAAAAAATAAGTGTATGAGTCAGAATTTTTACCTCTTATTTTTTATTAGCAATTTTTTTTAGTTAAATAATTATACTAATAAAAGGATATTAATCATGAATGATGAGTAAAAATTCTAATTTATGCGCTCTTAAAAATAAATTATGTAATTTTCTCTTCTTTTTTATTTTCTCTCTCTCTTCTTCTCTTTTTTCTTTTGTCTCTCTTCTTCTTTTTAAAATATCTTTACGAAGTTGGTTAAAATGAGTCCTCTAAATCCCCATGTATGAGAAACCTTGGGCTGAAGCCCACTAACCCTTTCATTTCCCTCCCATCCAATTTATATTCAACTGAGTCAACTCGCTGCCCGTCTTCCTAGATTGCACCGGATAAAAACCCTAATTCCCCTTTCACCCACTCCACTAAATTTGCCAATCTGCTTATCAACTCGGACCAACCAGGTGAGTTTTCCCTTTCTCTTGGCTCGTCAGAATCTCATGCATGAATATGGTTTCTTCTTTACATGCAATTTTGGATTCATTCAAGCCTTTAACTTGCTAATATTGTCGTTTTACTGTTATAGTTGAAACCTACCTGTTATGACCCTTATCTCGGTTCTTTTTCTCTTTTCTTTTTTTTGTGTATGTGGGTACAGAATGAAGAGTCCAAGATTGTTTTAAGAGTTGGTGGGCAGTTGTGAATTATTATTTACCATTGTGATTTTTTAATTGCAAATGGTATGTGGAAGATATGCAGAATTTAATGATGCATTTTTAGATGAAGTTGATGAAACAAAATGCCCATTTTGATTTTGTATCTTCAAGATGATATACGAGTGGTAATGGAAAAATGTGGGGTGGTGTTATTTTGATGGGTTTGTGAGGTTTTAACTAATTGAATGGTTTTGAATTGAAACTTCGTTGGTAAGATTACCCGGTATAGGATAATGGAGACCCCGGGTTCTAATGGTTCTCTTTTGAAACGATCTTTGCGAAAGAAAGCGGGTTTGCGGAATTATGATGAGAATTTGATGGATGAGCTCTTTGAGAAGCATCTGGGTGGTACTTTGAAGAAAAGGAAGAGAACCAAGTTGGACTTGGAGAAAGAAACTGAAACTGAAGCTATGATAGCTCTATCTCTTGGTTTCCCGATCGATGCGCTACTGGAGGAGGAAATTCAAGCTGGGGTGGTGAGGGAATTGGGTGGGAAAGAGCAGAATGACTATATAGTTGTGAGGAATCATATACTAGCAATGTGGAGGGATAATGTTCGAATATGGTTATCGAAGGGACAGATTAAGGAAACCGTGAGTAACGAGTATGAACATTTGATATCTTCAGCCTATGATTTTCTTTTGTACAATGGGTACATAAATTTCGGGGTTTCACCATCATTTATGTCTCACATGCCAGGGGAGACAAATGAAGGGTCTGTCCTTATCGTTGGAGCAGGACTTGCTGGGCTGGCAGCAGCAAGGCAACTCTTGTCATTTGGTTTCAAGGTGATTATTTTGGAAGGTAGGAATCGACCCGGCGGACGAGTTTATACTCAGAAGATGGGTCGGGAGGGTAAATTTGTCGCCGTGGATCTTGGTGGCAGTGTTATCACTGGCATCCATGCTAACCCTCTTGGGGTTCTGGCTAGGCAGCTCTCAATTCCACTTCATAAGGTAAGAGATAATTGCCCCTTGTACAAGCCAGATGGGGCGCCTGTTGATAAGGAGATTGATTCTAATGTTGAAATCATCTTTAATAAGTTGCTTGACAAGGTCATGGAGCTCAGACAAATCATGGGTGGATTTGCATATGATATTTCTCTGGGTTCGGTTTTGGAGAGACTCCGGAAGTTGTATGGCACTGCTAGAAGTAAGGAGGAGAGGCAACTTCTTGATTGGCACCTTGCAAATCTGGAATATGCAAATGCTGGATGTCTTTCAGAGCTTTCTGCTGCCTACTGGGATCAGGATGACCCTTACGAAATGGGTGGGGACCACTGTTTTCTTGCTGGAGGTAATTGGAGATTGATAAAAGCTTTGTGTGAAGGGCTTCCCATATTCTATGGGAAAACTGTGAATACTATTCGGTATGGGAACCAAGGCATTGAGGTTATTGCCGGCGGCCAAGTATTTCATGCTGATATGGTCTTATGTACTGTGCCTCTTGGAGTTCTGAAGAGAGGGGCTATCAAATTCGAACCTGAGTTGCCCCAAAGGAAGCTTGCAGCGATTGAGAGGTTGGGATTTGGACTGCTAAATAAAGTTGTTATGGTTTTTCCTCACGTTTTCTGGGGTGAAGATCTAGACACATTTGGATGTTTGAATGAACAAAGCCACAAGCGTGGAGAGTTCTTCTTGTTCTACAGTTACCATACCGTTTCTGGAGGGCCTGCTCTTATTGCACTCGTGGCTGGAGAAGCTGCACAAACTTTTGAAAACACAGATCCATCTATTTTGCTCCACCGTGTTTTAGGCGTCCTCCGAGGTACACAATAACATACTTTTCGTTTTGTTGGTTGGTTCTCTTTAGACTTAAGAGAGCTTCCGTGAAGTACTCTACATTCTTATGAATATTTATTTTCCTTCAGGTATATATGGTCCTAAAGGTGTTGATGTGCCTAATCCAATACAATCAATATGTACAAGGTGGGGAAGCGATCCGCTTTCCTATGGTTCTTACTCACATGTCAGAGTACGGTCATCGGGCTCTGATTACGATTTACTTGCAGAAAGTGTGGGAAATAGGCTGTTTTTTGCCGGTGAGGCCACAACTAGGCAATATCCAGCCACCATGCATGGGGCCTTCTTAAGTGGTTTGAGAGAAGCTTCACGCATATACCGAACCACGAGGGTTCTTCAAAACAATCCAAGGAAATTTGCACAAAGGAATGTTGGACCAAGCAATGATATGCTGGCAGATCTCTTCAAAAGGCCTGATCTAGCATTTGGAAGCTTCTCGTTTGTGTTTGATCCTTTCGTTGAAGACCCAAGATCAATGGGGTTTGTAAGAATTACTTTTGACAGTAACAAGGACAATCGCCGAGAGGAGTTGCCTAACAACTTCCGAGATTCTGTAGACTCACCAATACCATTGCAGCTTTACACGGTAATATCTAGTGAACAGGCACGAGAGCTAGAGCATGTCACGGGAGGAGATGAAAATAGATTGTCGTACTTGGTCAAGAATCTTGGCTTGAAATTGATGGGACCAAATGCGTTAGGAATTACGAGCAATTCTTTAATTACGAGTATCGCTAGTGCGAGAAGAGGTCGGGGCAGGTACCGCATGTTGGCTTGGCAGCCATAAGTTTGCGTGGAGTCAATGTTGGCCTTTCGGGTTTGAAGCATGCGCTCTTTGGTCCAAACTTTTTGTATATAATCCAGCCAGGTAGGTTATTCATTCACTTCAAGAGAAATCAAATTTCTTGGAGCTTGGACTGGGAAAAAACCAGTTTGTTATTACAGAAAACCTTATCTGACAGTGACCAACTTGGTGACTAACTAGTGAACTCTCAGCCCAATCATTTGGCTGTGAAATTTTTTATAGTTCAAAGACCTTGTACTAGCATCCTACTTTAGGTGGGAAAGGAATGAAATTACTTCCGTAAGAATCTTAACTAGTGAGCTCTCAGCCCACACTGTATTAGCCAGCCATTTATATTCTGCTAATCCATTTTCTATATGTATGAGATCTGTTGTACCATTTTCTTTTGGTTGGTTGTACTAATTTTTTACTAAAAAATATGACAGCAGCTAGTTTTTTTTTTTTCGTTATGATAAACTGTTAGGTTCCTGTTTTCCCAAGTCCTTTTCTATTCAGTGTTCGTAACACAAAGTAAGCAATTGAATGGAAATTAACCAGAAAATGGGTCTGGCTCCTTATATTTTTGAAGAGAAACGAAAGATTACAGATAGAAGGGGGAATTCGAGGACCCCAAACCTCCAACAGTCTAATTCTGACAATAGCAAAAATATCCGATACCTCCCAACCCCACGGCTGGGCTATTTATTCTACCCTTCTCTAACCAACTGGACACTCCCCTAACGGATTCCATTCCACTCACCCTCCCCAATCCCAAGACCAAGGATCCTAACAGAATTGCTAATCCCCATGACTAATCCTCCTTCAAATTACCAACCAGTCCCTGCTTGTCATTCTTGTCAGCTGGGAGACGTGAAACACAGGTGAATCTTGGCAGAAGCAAGTAAGTCTAAGCGATACGCCACTTGACCAATTTTCTCCAGAACAGCCCATAGAAGCGAGGACTGAGCTTCTCATTAACCTTCCAAGCGATGGATTTCATGAAATATGGTCGGAGTCGAAGCAAAACCAAGTCGCCCGGAGCAAACTGTACCTCCCGGCGGTGTTTGTCTGCAAACTCTTTCATATGTTGTTGAGCCAAACGGAGGTGCTCTTTAAGGACATTCAGCATTTGATTTCTCGCCTGTAATTAGGTGGCAACTTCATGGACAGCAGTAGAATCGTCTTGGAAACGCTGGATAGTAGGGGGTTCCTACCCATATACCACTTGAAAAGGAGAACACTTAAGGGACGCATTATACGAAGTGTTGAACCAATATTCCGCCCAAGGCAGAAAAGACAACCAGGACCTTGGCTTGTCACAAGCAAAGCAACGGAGAAAGGTTTCTAGGCAGCGATTGGTTACCTTGGACTGGTCGTCTGTCTGTGGATGATAGGCAGTACTCGGCTAAAGCTTTGTTCCCTGTAGTTTAAACAGTTCTCGCCAAAACAAACTCATGAAAATTGTATCGCGGTCGCTAACAATCGAACGGGGAAACCCGTGTAGGCGAACAATCTCCTGAACAAACAAAGAGGCTACCTGTTTAGCCGTGTAAGGATGGGCCAAAGGACAGAAATGGGCGTACTTGGAAAGGCGATCCACAACAACCAAGATAGTATCCACCCCCTTGGACTTCGGAAGCCCCCCAATGAAGTCCATGGCTATATCTTCCCAAATTTGCTGGGGCATCGAAAGGGGTTGTAATAAGCCTCCCGGGGAGAGCGCTTCGGTTTTAGCCTGCTGACACCATTCACAGTGGGTAACATAGTCCCTGATTGCTTGTTTCATGCCTTTCCAAAAAAAATTCGCAGAAATCCATTTATACGACCGCAAAAATCCGGAATGCCCCTATAACCGAACTATGGAAATTGTGGAGTACCTGAGGGGTCCAAGATAGAGGCAGCACTAACCGTTCCCAGAACCACAGCAAGTCGTTGCGAAGAACATACCCCTCCCCTACTGGCCGACCATGGCGGATGGCATTGATGATGTCCCGGCAGTCGGGGTCCTAGAGCTAGCCCTGCCGGAGTGCCTTCATGTCTACTGGATGAGGAATGGAAAGGGCTGCGAATTCCACCGGCGAATCGTCCCCCCGACGTGAAAGGGCATTTGCTACCCGATTCGCTGTGCCCGGTTTGTACTGCACCTCAAAGTCATATCCGAGGAGCTTGGTGATAAGGCGCAGCTGATCAAGGGGTAACACCCGCTGGTCCATCAAGAATTTAAGACTCCGCTGATCAGCCTGGATAAGAAAATGCCGCCCCAAAAGGTAATGCCTCCATTTTTGAACGGCCAAGACAATAGTGAGGAGCTCCCGCTCGTAAACTGACTTCAAACGAGAAGAAGCGGACAGCACCTTGCTAAAGTAAGCGATTGGCCAACCCTCCTGCATTAGTACCGCGCCCACGCTGTTGCCCGACGCGTCAGTTTCAAGGACGAACAATTTCGTGAAGTCCGGCATGGCCAACACCGGAAGCTCAGTCATCGCGCGCTTAAGAAGGAGAAAGGCAGCCTCTGCCGTGGAAAGACCAAGTGAAGATGCCCCACTTGAGCAAGTCAGTTAGCGGATGGGCTAAGGATCCATACCCCTTAACAAAACGTCTATAATAGCCTGTAAGGCCCAGGAAGCCCCGCAATTCCCGAAGAGTCCTAGGGGAAGGCCATGACAACATCGCAATAACCTTAGATTGGTCTGCGGATACTCCCTTAGCCGACAGAACATGTCCTAAGTAATTGATCTGCCCTTGTCCAAAAACACATTTCTCGAAATTGGCAAACAAGGCCTCCTGCTTCAGCACTTCTAGCGCGCTCCTTAAATGTGTGAGATGATTCGCCCACATCCGGCTGTAAATCAAAATGTCATCGAAAAACACCAAAACAAATTTTCATAAGAAGGGGCGGAATACCGAATTCATTAGAGCTTGGAATGTAGCTGGCGCATTGGTGAGACCAAAAGGCATGACGCAGAACTCATAATGTCCTTCATGTGTCCGAAACGCCGTCTTTTCCACGTCAATCTCGCGTACCCTGATTTAGTGGTAGCCAGACTTCAAGTCCAGTTTGGAAAATACAGTCGCCCCGTGCAACTCGTCAAGCAGCTCATCAATGATTGGAATTGGAAATTTGTTTGGAATGGTTAACTGATTCAGGGCTCGATAGTCGACACATAAACGCCAATTACCATCCTTCTTTCAGACCAACAGCACTGGGCTGGCATAGGGGCTACTGCTAGGCCGAATAATGCCCGAGGCCATCATGTCTGCAACTAGTCGCTCAATCTCAGCTTTTTGAACCTGAGGGTACCTGTAAGGCCGGATATTGGGCGGGGATGCACCCTCACGGAGGACAATACAGTGATCCTTTGCTCGGTAAGGAGGCAACCCCTTAGGCATGCTGAATACGGTGTGGAACTCCTTGATGAGGAGGGGCTCGCAACTCGGCAGCAGTGGCCGCATATCACCCTCAACTCCTTTGTCCTGGGTTGCTCGAAATTCCAATAACACTCCAATCCTGGTATGGTTCCAGATCCGTGATAATGAACGCCGGCTCATCGGGGAATAACTCAACGAGGGATCTCCTGTCAAACAAATCCACTCCGTTCCTTCCTGGAACCGCATGGTGAAGTTGGCCCAATCGGCTCGGACTTCCCCCAACGTCCTCAGCCATGAAATTCCTAAAACCAAATCCGCGCTCCCCAGCTCAAAAGGAAAAAAATTCTTCGACTACCCAAAATCCTTGTACGAGCACCTTAACCCCTCGGCAAATCCCCCTTTGTTGAAAGCTCATACCATTACCTACCTCAATCTTATGGCGAACAGACAAATCCGTGGGAATCGCTAGGCGGTGCACCAGGTCTGTCACTATGAAGTTGTGGGAGGCTCCACTGTCCACCAGTATGACTACTTCCCGGCCACCCAAGTTCCCTTTTAGCTTCATAGTCTTGGCTGTCGCCATCCCCTTGAGGGAATTTAAAGAGAGCCCCAAGGCTTCCTCCGTCGGTCTCTCCTCCCCCTCCTCATGACCTCGTCTTCACTTTCCTCCTCACCCACTGCAAGAAGGACTTGCAATTGCTTGTTTCAGCACCTGTGGCCCAGGCTAAACTTCTCATCACACCGGAAGCATAACCCACGAGCTCGCCGCTGTTGAGCCTCGTCGTACGTAAGTCGTCGGTAGTTGGGGCCACCTCCTGTCGTCGTACCTGCCGTCGCGGGTGAGTCACGATTCCTAGTGGGCAGAGCTAGGTCACACGACATTTGGGATCGAAGAAAGCTCTCAGGCTTATCTGTTGAGTTAAAAGGAGTCGGAGCTAGGTTCGGGTTGCTGAACCCAGCTCTGCCGCCCCACTCCGTACGGGTATTTCGACCCGCCCGCGCCTTCCGGATCCGGTCGACCGCCTCCAATCAATCTTCAGCCTGTTGGGCCAGATCCATGGCCGTAACCAAATTCATGGGCCTGTGCATTTTTGACCTCTGCTCTTATGTCTTCCCTCAGCCCATTAAGAAATGCTCCTCTGAAACGTTCTCTGGTATTCCTCTCATCGCCGCTGCGAGGGACTCAAACTCCTCTCTAAATTCCGCCACCGCCCTCTTTGCCGGAGTGCCATAAGTCTCTCAGTTAGGTCCCCTTCCCGGGAACGACCAAAACGATGGAGGATAGCCTCTCGGAGGTCTTCCCAGCCCACGAAAGGTTCCTGAGTATCCAACCACTGATACCAACCTAAGGCCCTGCCCTCCATGCAGACTGAGGCCGCCATCACCTTCTCTCCTCCTTCGATTCCGTTAATGGTGAAATACCATTCGGCTCGAAAAATCCAACCGTGAGGATCCTCTCCCTGAAATAGTGGAAGTTCAAGTTTCTTACCACGATGCTCAACCCGCGCGCAGGGTCTATCCGGAGACCAGTAATGGTGATATCCCTCTCTTCCCCTCGCCTGATCTCTCCTCGGAGGACTAGGATCCGCGCGAGCCGGCCGGCCAGGTCCTCGCCTAGGTGGAGTTTGATCGTTCCGTATCTCCCCTGGCGGAGAGTAGTCCCCCCTGCCTCTCCTCGGAGGAGAGCGCTGGTTACGTACTTGCTGGATCATGAGCTCCTCGAGTCGGCCGATCGTTCCTTGGATTCTGTCCACCTTAGCTCCCATCGCGGCAACTACTCCTTGCACTTTGCCGAGCCTCACTCCTATGGTCGCCACCTCCTCCTACAACCTTGGTACTGGGTCCACCATCGTTTCGAAGGTTTGTAGAGCATCCTGGAAACTGTTCAACCTCCTCTCCAACGCTCCCCAGCGGTCTTGCTGATTGGCCATGGATCGGCGTGCTCTGATACCAAATTGTTAGGTTTCTGTTTTCCTAAGTCCTTTTCTATTCAGTGTTCGTAACACAAAGTAAGCAATTGAATGGAAATTAACCAGAAAATGGGTCTGGCTCCTTGTATTTCTGAAGAGAAATGAAAGATTACAGATAGAAGGGGGAATTCGAGGACCCCAAACCTCCAACAATCTAATTCTCACAATAGCAAAAATATTCGATACCTCCCAACCCCACGGCTGGGCTATTTATTCTACCCTTCTCTAACCAACTGTACACTCCCCTAACGGATTCCATTCCACTCACCCTCCCCAATCCCAAGACCAAGGATCCTAACGGAATTGCTAATCCCCACAACTAATCCTCCTTCAAATTACCAACCAGTCCCTGCTTGTCATTCTTCTTTCTTCTAGCATAAACAAATTTAATAGGCGGTGACCTATCATAAACTAACCCATTAAGAACATCTAAATGTCTATTTGACAAATCATCATATATGTAAAATGGTGTTAACTATTGAAAGTATGGGGATTGGAATTCCCTCACGAAACCTTTTGGCCTCAACATCAAAAACAGAGTAGAATAATTAAGAAGTTTAACTTTAGACTAGTACTTAAAAACGTTTCTCATGGCAGAGATGAATTCTTAGATAATTAGGAGGCCAGTCTCCCATAAAAGCCTTATTCTCCGAATCTATTGAAGATTGAGAAGAAACGACATAGCAAAATCAAAATCACCAACCCTCTTGATAGAAGGTCTTAGCTTTACTATTAAGAAAAATGGTTATATTAAATTAAAGCAAGAGGAAGGATGAGCCTTTCTGCTTCTTTTTAAGAAGCCCGTCTATGGTATTACGTTCTGCATGTAGTCCACGCATGTGCGGCAGTTGCAGTCGAGGAATCGGCACCTCAAGCACCCAAAACAGACGCAAGAAGTGCAGCCCTTGCATGCTGGAGACCGGGGACAGCCCCTGCAGCTTTTGCGGCTCTCTCGCTCTTCTTCCTCTTCGCAGGTTATCCTGGAACACACAAAAGTCACATTCATCGGCAGCAAAATGGACACCCCTTCAAGAAGATATATCTCATGAAGAACAGAAGAAAATGTGAATTATCAATTTTTAGCAAGTTGAAATCTCAGATATTTTTGCAGATGGAAAAAAAAAAAAAAAAAAAGGGACTAGACTAGAGAAAGATGTTGTATTAGTACCTTCTATGTAGATAGAAAAACAGTATGTAACATAAGACGTAAAACATAACTTGAGTCGACCATGAATCCAATATAGCTTATTGCAGAATATATCTTTGACATGGAGATGTTATGTTCTGAAAACTCGTCCATATATATAGTTTTATGACAGACTACAGGAATTCATAACTAAACATTTTTTTAGCTAACTTACGTCAGTGTAATAAATAGCATTACTTGTATATACATTTAGACTTGATATGGGACACTAATGGCCCATTTCGTTTATAGGTTTGGTCCGAAACTTTAAATAGAAATTCAAATTTTTATGAGAGAAACACTTTAACAAAAATGTATGAATTGTAGTTTAACCTATGAAATATTTGTCAATAAGTGCGAGAAATATGACATAAAACTGTGGTTGCAGAGGCACAACTTACATGTCATCAGAACACTTCCACCTTCTTTTGGCCAAAGCATCATGGTAGATTCTGCACTCTTCTTTGGACCGAAGGCGAAACCTGCGTTCTTTCTTGCACCTCGAACAGCGAATGAACTCATCTCTGTGGAAAGTCAATTTGCGGCGAGAGCTGCACACCCCATTTTGCATGTTCGAACCGTGCTTGTAATACTTCAACAGGCCAGTCTTCAGTAACTGTGTTTTCACGTTGTCCACCACGACCCATATGTTTCTCTTCCATTTCTTTTGACCCCCTCGCAATGAATGCTTCTCAAATTCTTCTGGTGTCAATCTTGCTGCACAATGGAGTTCTCCAATGTTACTTGTAATGCCAAGTTTGCAAGTCTAAGTGGCTTGTTCGGATCATAGGAGAAATCAGTAAAAAGAGCAAATTGATGACAATCAAATTCACTAGAACAAAGTTTCACTTTGTTGACATGAACTATAATTTGCAAAAGAGGTGCATTATGAGTTGGAAATAGCAGTCCAAAGGAGAAAAACAAATGAACTTTTAAGAAAATAAAACAAAAACCAAAATAGTTTTCAATAGTAGGGTATCTTGAACGTCATATTTAATTAAAATTATATCAAAACTGATAGGATTAATAAAATTTTATGGTTTAAAAGGGTGCCTTACTTTTCATATCCTATCAAAGAATTCTAAAACAAAGAAAAGCACATGAATAATTTACTTGCATATGTAAAGTACATAACAAATAGACAAAAAAAAAAAACTTAAGAAGCAACTTATAGAAAAATCAAATTCACATATGAAATAACCTACAAGATTTATCAGACAACCAGCAATAACCAATTGTTATGCTATGTAATTCAACTGTTTATCAATTACCAAAAAATATCAAAAAAGATAAAATCAAGAAAAAGGAAAAAAGGAAATAATTTGCTCAAAAGACAAAAAAACCCATGCATGAAGATAGAATAAGTATCAACAAATTGAGTTAAAGAGGCTGAAACTTACTTTCCTTGCAACCCAAGGAACATTGGCAGGTGATGAGGAACTGGCCAGAGGTGAATATCCTGAGCTTACCAATTGAGTCCCCAAATCTCCGGCTGGTGCAGCCACAGGTAACTTCAATATAGTCCGGCCCACACCTTAGCCCATCCATCAACTTCAGCGTTTCATCACTGAACATTGTACTCACTCTCCTAGCCTTCCCTTTCCTCGTTCCTACATATACAATAAAACACCACACACAATATATATATATATATGTATATATATATATAAACTGAATGAGACTAATTATACAATTAATGATAAAAGAAAATAAAACCCATCGGAGATTATGAAATGTAGATTTTTGTTAGATATGAATTTTGTGAATCCACAACCTTAAATAATGTAAACTCATGTCTAGCTAAGCCAAATATGAAGTGTATTCATGAAGGACAAGCAGACAAAAAGCACATGGAGAGATAGAGAGAACAAGGAAAAGATGATAAAAGAGAGAGAAGAGGTGGCCAAAGTGTAATGTACAAATTAAACAATTGTCTGAAGTTTACCTTTATACGGCTTTTGTGTTGAGAAGTGATGTGTGAGTTTCGTGACAGGAAAACGGAAAAAGACAATGTAAATCAAGGCAAAGAAGTGAGGACTTGGGCACTTTTTTTTTTTTTTTTTTAGAGTAAATATACACACAAAGACTTAAGCCGCTCACTAAAACCTTTGAAAACTATAGAAACATGACATTTATTATATATACTTATAACTTTGTAATAGTATAGCAAGAAAGAATTTATTTGTGGGAGATCAATGTTATATTCTTCTAAGATTATTATTACATAGAATAAATTCTATTGTTCTATGTTATTTCCTTACTTGTAAACACACACATATATTTATATATATATATAATATACTGGCTTGTGTTATGATGCACTTACAAATGATAACCCTTTTTTAGGACTTTTCCTAAATGATTTTCCTTTCCATGAACGGTTTGTATATGAGTTGAATCTGATGATGTTTCTATACCACTTTAATGTATCTCGGCAATTTCAGTTTCTCCATACTTTTTGCTCTTTATAAAGTCCCACTGATTATTCTTTAATGAGGTATTCCTAGGTCCAATCATGTGCTGTTTTTATTTGGTCTCTTAAACATTCTTTCATATTTCTTTTAGCTGTCTTATATACTACCACAAAAACTCGTGTGACTTTGAGTTTCTCTAATAAAATCAGAAAAAATGAGCTTCTCATAGTTCTTTATTTATTAGTCATTACATATCTTTTCAATCTAATATGATTTTAACCAAATCCAACGATAAAAATTAAAGTCCTACTAATAAGGAGGCCTACCGAAAAACTCCTCATAAATAAATACACACATAAAAACACACTCTTAACACTCACACATGTAAGTCTATACCACAACCCGCAAAGTAGGAAATGAAAGTCCAAAAAGTTTAGTTTCTTTCGTGACTTGTCATAATGAAAGGAGGCCAGAATGAGGTGCGACTTAATTTAGTTGGTGCATCAGTATTTGTGGCTCAATGAAGATTTATTTATTGTTCCTTGTTGATGCACGTTTCTTTCTTCATATTTATTCAATTTTTTTTCTTAGGGGGTTGGGAAAGTGTTATAACACATATATATAGCATAATTATATATATATATATAATGTCATCATTTCCGAGGAAATAAGCACAGAGAAATTTTATGTTATCAAATAATACTCCCTCCTGTTTGGCGCATTCAGTTAAAAAGAACATATGTTTCAAATTAAATTGTCAGGCTTTTAAACAAACCAATATAATATGCAATATTCCTTATCGCCATTACCAGTTAACGTATATTATGCACAATACAAATATCTTGAAATAATGAAATCAGAAAAACTAGACGATGTTTGTTAACTGATTTGAGCGATAACAAAGTTAAGATCTTGAGCAAAATATGCTCAAATATGGTATCATAAACATAAATATATATATATATCAATATATTAAAGGTTTATTCCTCTTTTTCCAAGATTAAAATTATCAAGTGGAAAAATTATGTTGTTTCATATCTGAATAATATCAAAATGATAGATTTAAAAAATAAATAAAAAACCCATAATGCTGCTGCAGCAAAGGTCTTTCCTTTAAATTTTTGGTAAAAGCTTGATGAATATTTTTGCCCCAAAAAGATAAATAGGAATATTTCAAAGATTATAAATTTATTAAGCAAAGTTTCAATAAAAACAACTCTCTAAAAGATATGGAAACATAGAAGAAATTAAACTAACCTTGGGCCATCTTCAGCAAATGTAGTCTCCTTCCTTGAGCACCTTTTTATACTCTTAAGCCTTATCTTCACTTCTTGGCTTAGTAAAAGGGTTTTCAATTGCCTCAAAACAAAACTAGAGGGAAGAATTAGGTCCTCTTATAGAACAAGAATTAAGTTCATACCTAATCAAAGGAATTCACCCCAGGTTGGAGCAATCTATTGTCAATTAGATGAAATCCGGACATTTATTAACTTCTCTTTAGCATGCAATACAAATGTTACAGTAAAATAAACGAGCCAATAAGCGACGCATACTCGTCTTTATTCTCATAAGATTAGCAAACCCTAAATGTGGTCTCATTAATATTCGTTAATTCTATCTTATTTTAGTATAATTTTGTATTCACAAATCGTAATCTCACACCGCAATGATTTGTGGTGCAATTGTAATCGTAATCTCGCACCCGTAATAGTTTTTGGTACCATTATTATGTGACATCTAGTGCTTCCAAATCAGATTTAAAATAAATTACATGCAAAAGAAAGAAATCAAACCTATCGTAAATGCCAGCTCAGAAACTAACACTAGTATGTATCATAGCTAAATTAGAAAATGGAACATAAACAAATTTTGTTTGTGTGGGAACTACTTATCAGAGAAAAGAAGAAAAGAAACACTTTTGGGTATGTGCAATGACAAAAGTTTTGAATCTTTTTTTTTTTTTTTAAAAAGAAAAAATCCATAAATTGTTTTTCTGTTAAATTTTGATTTATGTTTACAGATAAATTGATAAATCTTGTATACAATTTGTGAAGTAAAGCGTTAATGTTTTAAAAATAAAATATTTTATGTACTGATTTTGATCGAACACGGCATTAAATTAATCAAAGTCAATATTATTCATGAAATACTTTATTTTTCATGATAAATAAAAAATTAACTCGTCAAGTGAATAATCAATCTATCCAATAAATAAAGAAAAGATAAAACACTATAAAAAAAGTCTCCAAATATGAGTATTTCACCTGAAATAAATTGAAAAGAAGAAAAAATTACAAATTGCAAATTATAAATTCTATACGAATTATTCACATTATCCAATTTACATTCTTTAATCTGCACACGTTACATTAATTTAAGAATAATACTAGAGATATCAAGTCTAGTCTCAATTATTAATAAAAGAATAATACTAGAGATATCAAGTCTAGTCTCAATTTTTTTATTAATTTACGTGACATGTAATTATTATTCTTTTATTAACAGTTGTTTAAAATATTATTACGTTAATTAATAATAAGTGACAGATTTATAAACGAGAATATAACAATTATTTTCAAAAGGAAAATGACAATTGTATACCATCAGTTGATAGAAAATAGTTTTTTTTTAATGTGAAATAGCATTTCATTAATCAACAATGCAAGATGTTTATAGAACTCAATACAGAAAATTTGATACAATAAATTAAGTCAGTAGACTTGTTGGCCCCCTAGTATAAGGATTCAAGATTCGATGATGGATACAATTTGAATTACTTCTCTTGGCTCATTTAATTCTCTCTTTACGGTTGATACTCCTAAATGAGCTGTAGCAAACTCTCTATAAAAATTGATTTCTGAAAGTCAAAATCTTTTTCAGATCAAGCTTGCTAAAGCAGGAGAGTTGGTGAGAGGCATACAGAATATTAAAAACACACACACACACACACAAAACTTAAACAAGGTTAAAGCTCGGTGGGGGAATATAATTAAAATTAATAAAAACAACTAAAACCCACACAGATCTAATGATTTGGGGAGGAAAATAATATCAATACTGACAGAATAACTGCCTTTATTCCAACAACTAAAAATGAAAAAAAAAAAACCATCAACGCGACCTCCATCATCGTATAATCGTATAGATCTGCCAATGTAAAACAAGTGGGTGTATTTTGAAGATCGATTGATTGAGACGCGCGCTTATAATAATCGGTCGGATAATTCTCTTTCTTCTCCTCTCTCTCTCTCGAATTCTCTCTCAAAACTTATTAAATTTCAAGTCCATATGTTAATACAAAATAGTTAGAATTAGATATTTAATTTAATTTTGTTTAGTGATTAAGAATCAAGAGTGTAACGGGTATTGGCTAACGCCATTACAGTCTGCAACGACAACCAAAGACCAGACAATTCCATCATCCTCGTTTCTCCCAAACTCCTCAAACATGTGGGCCTTATCCTGCGCAATCCCTGCTTATCCTGCGCCCACTCTTAAAGCTTCACCACCACCCTCATTCACTGTCCGTTCAAGCTCTCAACTTTCAGTCTCCATCAGTCACAAAACGGACACTCCTTTTGTCCCAGAGGTCAGTATTGCTCTCATTTAACGCCAATCTCGAATGCCCAGAAATTTTTATCTGGTTGGTTGCTCAGAAAGTTTGGGAATTCACGAGAAACTGAGCCTTTGTGCACTGGCTCAGTTTCTGATGTTTGTGTTTTGAGTGCTCAAAAGCTTTATATTTTCTGCAGTTAGGGACTAAAGTGTCATAATTTTTGTGTTCAATGAAAGGTTGTGGAAGCGGTGGAGTCGTTATATTCAGAATTCAGAGCAGTGGATAATTTGGTTGCACGCAATACAACCCGTGTTCTAAAAGCTTTCCAAAGAGCAAGAGTTGGGTCTCATGTGAGTAAAAAGTTTATTTTTGTTAAGAGTTTTTCGATTGATGACACTAAAAAACTATGGTGGGAACTGGTGTTTGATGCTTGTGATACATTCATTTGAAGTGGAAGAACTCATGTAATGCCTCAACATTTATGACAAGTAGTTCTATTCCATGTGCAATAGACACCATATGCGTAGAAGATATAGGGTATTTGGTGCTTTTGCTCCTTGAACTTTCATGAATTGGAAAGTTGCCCTGAACTCTTAATTTTGGCAAATTACTGACTAAATTTAATAACTTGTAGTAGAGTGCTCTGAACTGATGATGATCGTGAGCTTGTTTGGAGAGAAGAGATGAAATTTTGGATGATGAGTGATGTCATGTGCACGAGGGCGTTTATGTCCAAATTTTAACAGCTCTTACCAATTTGAGGCAGACTGCACATTTGATTAAAGTTATGAGGTCATTTGCCAAAACTAAAAGTTAATGCCTCACAGGGAAACTTGCCGATTCACGAAAAGGTCAGTGAGGAAAAGTGCCAAAAACCCAAGAACGTATGAAGTTATATGGTTGTAAGTCATAGATTCATGTTGGTTTATTTGTATCATTATCTCTTGTGATACTGCACTACATGCTTCTTTCTGTTTGTCTACATGCTCTAGATTCATATTTCACACCGACTTAGGAACCCATAAAGCTCTAACTCTCATTTTCAGTCTGCTTACTGTAGTCTTTTATCATTATCCTTCAATTGTAAATATGGAAATTGAGAATCAATACGTATTACTCCCAAATCAGCACTTTGCCGGATGCACTGGCTATGGTCATGATGAAGCTGGGGGACGCGAGGCACTTGACCAAGCATTTGCAGAAATTGTTGGTGCTGAATCTGCAATAGTCCGCTCACAGGTCTGCCATACACAGTTTTCTTGTGTCTTAGTGGGACATTTACAATAACTGCTTAATTTCTCATATTCTCTATGTCAGTTTTTCTCAGGAACTCATGCCATAACTTGTGCTCTGTTTGCCTTTTTAAGACCTGGCGATGAGGTGAGAAATCTGTTTATCTCTTATTCAATAACTTTTTATTTTTTGCCTGCTTTTTGTTGCATTTCAGTTTAGACTAAATTAATTGTCAGCTTTTGGCAGTTGCTGGTGCTCCTTATGACACCTTAGAGGAAGTTATTGGAAAAAGGGATTCTCATGGAATAGGATCCCTGAAAGATTTTGGAGTAAAATACCGAGAAGTTCCAGTGAGTTACTAGTTTGCACAAGCTAGTTTTGAATTGCCAGTTATACTTTTACAAACAGTTCTAATGTTGATCAATTCTAGCTTGCTGAGGATGGTGGACTTGACTGGGATAAACTTTCGAGGGCTTTAAAACCCGACACAAAATGTGCGCTTATACAGAGATCGCGCGGTTATTCTTGGCGTCGGAGCTTAAGTGTACATGAGATAGGACGTGCGATACAGATTATAAAAGTAAGCTACCCAGTAAAGCCATTCTGAATTAAACTGAACATTTTTTTTAATCAAAAAATATCACATGCTGCGACTTCACCACCCCCGTATTTAACCAGTTAGTGTTTCACTCGCATTTCAACAGGTGCAGAATCCTAACTGTTTGGTAATGGTGGATAATTGTTATGGTGAATTTGTTGAAAGCATTGAGCCTCCATTCATGGTATGTAGCATATTTCACATCCCTTTCTTACTATTCTTTTGATAAAAGGGATAATATAAGCAAAATGTTGTTTGTCATGTGTAGGGTGCAGATTTAATCGCTGGAAGTCTTATAAAAAATCCAGGCGGAACCATAGCACCATGCGGCGGATACGTTGCGGGGAGGGAGATGTGGGTTAAAGCAGCAGCTGCTCGGTTGTCTGCACCGGGGCTTGGAGTAGATTGTGGCTCGACTCCTGGTGATATCATGCGGTCCTTTTTCCAGGGGTTGTTTCTTTCACCTCAAATGGTTGGAGAGGCGATCAAGGTATTAGAATTTGCAGTATCATGTCCTTGTTCATGTTGTACTTTTGTTGCCACCACTTAGCACTTAGCAGTGATTTTTATTTAATTATTTATTTATTTATTTACTCCTTTGTTACTATAGGGAACCTTTCTGATAGCTGAAGTAATGGCATCTAAAGGGTTTAAAGTGGAGCCGCTTCCTCGTGTTCCTCGCCATGATACTGTACAGGTGTGTACAACATAAATCTTTATACCTTTTTGTTAACTAAGACTGTCAAGTATGCCTAAATGATCGAGTTAGCTAGTTTGGGGAAGTATTATTATGATTATTTTTCTCGTTGATTCTCGCACATTGCTTTCTATATTTCACTTTGGTGCTATAAGGTTAATACATATTTTCAGTGGGAAAAAATGTTAATATAGATGGAGGGAAATTCAAGAATTTTTGAAGGAAAAGAAATGGACTTGATGGATTTGTTTGGGAAAGCTAAACTTCCAGCTTTGCTTCGACGGATAACACCTTAAAGGATTTCCTGTTTTCCCTGATTATGTTAAATTGGAGGGAAATATTGTCTTCTTTTCAGTTTTCTTTAGTTTTTTCTGTTCTTGTTTTCTCTCTTTTTTAGGTATTTGTAGAGGATTCCTCATCCTCTTTCCTTTGTAATTGATTTTCTTACAAATGATTGGAGTTTTATTATAGAAAAAAAAAATATAGAAGTTTGGAAGTGTTAATGCAAGCAACATGGGAAAAACTAATTTGCTGCAATACTTTTCAGGCCGTGGAGCTTAAAAGCCGCGAGCGTCTCCTTGCTTTTTGTGAGGCTGTACAAAGGAGCTCCCCAGTAGGTTCATTCACTAAACCAGTGGCTGGTACAACTCCTGGATATGCCTCTGAGGTCTAGCCACACACAAAGCTTTAAATTCAGTTGTACTATCTAGTACGGATAGATGATTCCAAAATGCACATCTCAAAACATTTTTCGCAGGTGATTTTCGCTGATGGGACTTTCATCGATGGGAGTACAAGCGAGCTCTCCTGCGACGGACCATTGAGAGAACCATATGCCGTATATTGCCAGGTATGTCACGTGCACTCAACTGCAAATTCTTCTATTCAAAAAGAAGAGTAATTTTCCGTGCACCTAACGTTAATCCAATAATGTTTGATTCGGTTCCTTTTTCATGAACTGCTCAAACTTAATTTCCGGTGCAGGGCGGCACCCATTGGACTCAGTGGGGACTAGTTCTTGGAGAGGTCTTGAAATCCATATGATATGAAGCTAATTTTCCGCAACAACGATGGAAGTGCAGTGATATTCATTGAGAGACATTGTTAAGATTTTACCAATCAATCATTGATGAGAAGAACTATACCCTTGACATAACTGATTAAAACAAATAACTGCCACCAATCTCTGCTCAAGACTCAATGTAAGGTAAAATAAGGTGAACTTCATTATATTATATTGATTAAGTTCTAAGGCTAATGCTTAAACGGAGTTAATAACACTTTTAGGTTTAGCTATGGTAAAATAGTATATATATATATATA